CATGGATTCTGTTGCCGTGCCTGGCTTGTGGGCGTCTAGACTGCGCGAGTGTTCCTTCCAGCTGGCGCGCAAGGCTCAGGGATTAGCCGCCCATGACAGCAGCTACGGGCACTGGTGGATGCAGACGACTGGCGCGTCGTCCAGAAGGCCCACCCGGGTGTCGACGTCGAATTTCCCCGCATGGACAGGACGGTGGCCTGCGTTCAAGTCGGGGCTGCGAAGCCAACAGACAATCGTGGCCCGAAAAGACTCCCCGTGCGGGGGGCGAGGCCTGAGCTATCCCGGCGCGATGTATCGCACTAGGATTATCCAAGTTCCGGGCGCGGCTGGGGTCTCCCGAGGAGAAAGCGGACACGATCAGGACTGCGAGCGCGACAGAGGACCTGGAGACATGCGCAGAAAAGCAGGAGGAGGAGGAGGACCGTCGTGGGCGATAGCAACCATGCCACTCGGGGCGTTGATGGCGCGGGGGGGCGCCTATCTCTCCTTTGCTGCGACGAAGGGTACCTCGGACGGCTGCGCCGCCTCGGGGCGTCTGACGATACACCGCCAACGGCACGCGCGGCTGGTTGGAGTGCGAGACACGAGGATGCGTTGTGGGGCGGAATACAGACTTTGTCAAATTCAGCAGAGGCATTGTGGCACCGGGGGTCTGTGGGCGGTTCCGTCTCAGGCGAGTGCAGCAGCAGCAGCAGCAGCCCTGATGCAGTCCGTCGCCGTCGACGTGCAGTCACATCAGCCGCAGCGATGATGTTTAAACATGGCCTGCTGCACGGGCGAGAAGGCGGGCGCGGAGACGCGCAGATTGGCTCGACGACTCGACTAACCTCGTATGTCACTCGATCTGTTTGTCCCATGCGGTGCCGACAACAGTCTGTTCTGATTTGCCGCACAATGTCCCGACAACGCTTAGCTCGCCACGCCGGGTCTTTGCCTGAACGTTCAGCTACTCTATCACCCTCACGGACATTGCAGCATCCGGAGCCGGCCCCTGTGCGATACCCGGCATGCCAGTGCCAGGAACGATTCCGTGTCTGGCTGGCCATCTGCAGCTGCTTGCAGCACTTGCACCACAAACATGGCTCACAAACACACTGGGACGCAGTCATGGTGTGTGCACGTCGGCCGACGACCTTTGCCGTCGTCCAGACACGTCCGACCGGTATAGTGCGTCAACCCTAACCTTGTTCACCCCGATCACTTGTCTGATCCGACGCAGACATCGTCGTCGATATTACATCTGGCAATGCCGGCAACTCTATAAGCCTTGACACCTTGAGGTCCTCAATGACGAGCGGCACGGGCAGACTCGCCTGGTGATGCGCCCCAGGCTTCCCGGCTGATCCCAGGGGCAGATGACACGCGCTGTGGAAAACGCCAGGACAATGGTGGAAAGACGGCGGGATACATAAAGACGCAGAGCCGCATGGCGTCGCTCACCACCAACACTCCCCCGCCGTTCGTGACATGGCTCCAGCACTCACCCCGGCTTCTTCGAGCAGCACCATCTTCGACCCCGTCTCGTTTCGCGGCCCCAGTTGGCTGGAACAAGAGGCCCGGCGCGAGGAACGGCGCGCGGAGCAGTATGGCGGGGACGACCCGCAGGACCCCCTCCCAAAGGACCCCCTCACGCGCGTCTCGACCCTCCGCGACGAGACGCCCGACCCGGACAAGGTCGACTGGGACGGCCCCCACGACCAGGAGAACCCGCAGAACTGGACGGTCGCGCGCAAGTGGTGGATCACTGCCCTCTGCCTGCTGATGACGGTGAACGTGTGCGTGCCGCTACTCCGTCCACATACGTCTCTGTCGCCGCGACTGACCCGCGCCGGTGCGACAGCTCGTTCGCGTCGTCCGCCCCCGCCCCGGCGGGGCCCGTCATCGCCGCGCAGTTCCACGAGCCCCCGGAATACGCGTACCTGCTCACGACGGTGTACCTCTGCGGGTATGTCATCGGCCCCTCGTTCTGGGGGCCTGGCTCGGAGATGTTCGGGCGCAGGCCGCTGTTCGTCGGGACGCTCGCGTGCTACACCGTCCTCCACCTCGGGCAGGCCCTCGCCCCCAACATGCAGGCGCTGCTCGCGACCCGCTTCCTGTGCGGCTTCTTCGCCGTCTCCCCCGTCACCAATTGCGGCGGCCTCATCTTCGACCTCTGGGACCCTGCCCACCGTGGCGGCGGCATGACCCTCATTGTCGCCGGGGTGTTTATCGGACCCGTGCTGGGGCCCATCGTTGGCGGCTTGTGAGTAGTCCCGCCGTGTCGCGCCGTGGGCGTAGGATCGGACTGATGTGTGTGTGTGTGTGTATGCGTGCCCGCAGTATCACCACGAGCTACCTGGGCTGGAGATGGGTGTTCTGGATCATGATGATCTTCGCAGGGTTCTGCACGCTGCTTGCGCTCGTCTTCGTCCCCGAGACGTACGCGCCGGTGATACTGCAGGAAAAGGTCAGCGCCGCGCCGCCCGTGCTGTGGCTTTGCGTTACTCATGCTCTGTGTGTGTGTGTGTGCAGGCACGACGGCTCCGCCGGGCGGACCCCGAGGCGAACGCGCGGCTGTACGCGGAGCACGAGCGGGCAGACTGGTCGGTCAGGGGCGTCGTCCACCGCACGATCTACAGGCCCGTGCAGATGCTGTTCATCGAGCCCATCCTGCTCCTGATCACCCTCTATCTCTCCCTCGTCTACGGGGTGCTCTACGCGCGTGAGTGGCCTGCCCTGCCCCCCGCCGCGCTGCTGACGGAATTCGCACAGTCTTCGAGGCGTTCCCGGTGATCTTCATCGAGAAGCGCGGCTTCACCGTCGGCGAGTCCGGGCTGGTGTTCATCGGCGTGGGCATCGGGACGACCGTCGGCGCGGCGTCGTTCGCGCTGCTCTTCGGGCACTACCCTGCGCTGATCGAGAGGTGGCGCGGGTTCCCGCCGCCGGAGCAGCGCCTGCACGGCGCGATGGTCGGCGGCGTGTGCCTCGTCGTCGGCTGCTTCTGGCTCGGGTGGACGGGGAGCTACGCGGGCGTGCCGTGGTACGTCCCCGCGCTGGGCACGATCCCCATCGGCGCGAGCGTGAGCATGATCTTCATCGCGTTCCTGGTGCGTGTCTCCTTCTCTGCCTGTGCGCGCGCCGGCCGCCCGCTGACGACGCCGCGGCGGGCCAGACGTACCTCGTCGACACGTACCTGGGCTACACCGCGTCCGCGTTCGCGGCGACGACGATGGTGCGGTCCGCGGCGGCAGCCGCGTTTCCGCTGTTCACGACGCAGATGTTCCGCAACGTGAGTGCGCCCACCCGCTCGCGCCGCGCATGTGCTCACCTTAGTCTCCTCCTCTGCGATGGGGCAGCTGGGGGTGAACTGGGCGGGGACGCTCATCGGGCTGCTGGGGCTGCTGCTCGCGCCGAGCCCGTTCTTGTTCTACCGGTACGGGGCGTGGATCCGGACGAAGAGTCGGTTTGCGCAGTGTCCTGTGAGTAGCGTCGGCGACGGTGTCTGCGGCGCACATGCTGATGCTGTGGGTGTGCAGGACTTGCTCATCGCGGAGGAGCTAAAGGCCGAGGCCGCGGCTGCTGAGGCGGGGGAGAAGGCGTGACGCCGCGTCGGTTGGCTGATGAGTAACTTATTCTGAGCCGTTACCGTACAAGTCCCCCTAATGTGTCGCTAAACGCTTGTTGTGACCGCCGTTTGTTTGTTCTGTACTATTATCTATCCTCCTGAGATTCTTGACGCGAGAAGCGGGCATGTGACCGCGTCGTTCCACGTGCCGCCTTAGTTATCGCCGCTGGGGAAAGTCGCGGTTGCTGGCGGTGTCTGCGAGAGAGAGATGGATCATCACGCAACCATCGCGTCTTGGGCGGTCTCCGTCGGGGAAAAGGCTGGATGCGTGTGCGCGCGATGACTGTGCGGTCACGGCTGGGGTCTGTGCCAATCGCAGGGTGGGTGTGCTGGATACCGCCGCACCCGCCTTGGCCGCCGCCAGTGCACCCGCCCGCCAGTCTCCGTCCGTCCACAGTTTCCGCCCGTTCGATTGGCGGCCTCCAGGTGGTCCTTAGCGCAGGCCGGTCGCCGTTGCCGTTGACTAACGGGCGTGCGCAATCACATGACCGTGCCAGGTGCTTTAAAGCGCGCTGCTGCCCCGCGCAGGGCCCACACCCATCCGTCCTCCTCCCTCCCTCCCCCGCCCGCTCGCAGCCATGGCCCCCACCGTCAAAGTCGGCGACACCGTCCCGTCCGGCACCTTTGCCTACATCGCCTACACGCCCGACCTCGACGCGCACTCCGCGTGCGGTTTCCGTGAGTGCACGCCCCCGATTGCTCCGCGATCTGCTCGATAACACCGCCGCGCGCGCGCACAGCGACGAAGCTGTCCACGGACGACTGGAGGGGCAAGAAGGTCGTCCTCTTCTCCGTCCCGGGGGCGTTCACCGTGCGTCCCATCTCCCGCTGAGCTTGCGCCCCCTCCAGCCATGCCCACGCTCCGCGCCCCGCGCAGCCCACCTGCCACGTCAACCACCTCCCGCCGTACCTCGACAAGTACGACCAGTTCAAGGCCAAGGGCGTCGACGTCATCGCCGTCATCGCGGCCAACGACGCGTTCGTGATGAGCGGCTGGGCGCGCATGATGGGGCTCAAGGACAAGGTATGACGGCCGTGCGCCAACCCCCCCCTCTCTCTCTCCCTCTCTCCCTGGAGCGTCGCCACGGCTGAGCGGCTTGTGCAGATTCTCGCGCTCTCCGACGGGGACGCCAAGTGGTCCAAGTCCCTCGGTCTCGACAAGGATCTCTCCGCGATCGGCTTTGGCACGCGCACGGACCGGTACGCGATCGTGCTCGACGACCTCAAGGTCACATACGTCGAGGTGCGTGCCCGCGGCGCCGCGTGTGTGTGTGTGTGTGGGGGGGAGGTGTCGCTGATCTTGCTGGATGCCACAGGTCGAGCCGGGATCCGAGGTGTCGGTCTCTGGTGCGGATGCCGTCCTGGCGCATCTGTGAATGGACACCGGTTTGGAACATCGCATTGCTATCCGTCGCAGATAAACCGCTCATGTTCGGGTCGGATTGTATAGACAGTTAGACCAAATGTATTTTGTATATCGAGCTCGAGGAAATCGCAGCGCTTGTCGTGCATTTCACGCCGTTTGTCTGCGTGCGCGCTTGCGGCTATGGGCCCTCGCCGCGACGGCATCATCCTGACGTTCTGCACGCTGGTTCGTATAGGGACCTACGACTGTGATGCAGCGGCGCAGTACATGCTCGCCTTGATGTGCTGGCCGAGGGCGACCACAGGCGTCGTTCTCCTGGGGGCTGACGCGGCGCGGTCCCGTTCGGAATGCCTCCTACACGTCTGCGGCGCATACAGTCAGCCGCTGCATCTCCTTGCTCGCGAACACCGACGATGGTCAATCGACGCAGCTCCATAACGCCTGCCGTGCGCCGTTTCCTCCTCGAGGCATTCAAGCCCGCCCCGACCCAGCTCGGGAAGCGCACCAGGGACGACGCAGACGTCCGCGCGTCCGCGCCCCCGCCCCCGCCTCCCGCGGCGCGCCC